GTATAGACAACAATAGGCGATTGCTCATGTGTGTCACTTAGACTTAGAGGTCCAGTACTACTGTCAGGACAGAAGGGTTTGGGTATGAGCCTACCACGACCTTGGCTAGCATCACCAATCCACATATGGAGTTAGCCCACCCACTGTCTTCCAAGTGCCATGCACCCTCCAGTACCTAGTCAAAGACTACATCTCTAACTAGATACCTTACTCAAATTGGTCATTCAACCATGACATGGATCGACTAATTCCATGTCGCCCACATAGTACTAAATAATTCAACTTTAAAACAACTTTCAACTTATCACCTTAGTACTATATATCTCAACATAGGACATATATCTTCACCATATGTCCCCAACTTTTCAACTTTACAACAATAGGAAGCTTTACAACTTTACGACAATAGACAACTTTACAACTATAGGCATCGTAACAACTTTACAACTATAAGCATCTTTACAACAATAAGCAACTATAGTCATCAATATCAACTTTAACAACTTTAAGGAAACTTTCAACTTTACAGCAATAGGCATCTTTATATTACTTAATTAAACAACTAGAACAACTATAGTCATTACAATATCAACTTAATGCAACTTAACAACTTTACAGCAATAATCTACTTTAACTTATACATCTCGAATTATCAATAATTCAACGATAGACAACATGTAAAAAACTTAGTTTCATCAACCACACAACCTATAAACAGCTTAAGCCAACAACTACTCAACTCATCTTCCTTAGGCAACTTAACAACTTTACAACCATATAAACAACTTCAACAATATACAACATATTCGACACAAATTACAAATCAACCAACATATTTAAAGTTCATCTATCATGCCAACTTACACAATGTAAACAACATAAATCAACTTAAGCACCCAAAAACTCAACCATTTCAACAAAAAAAACACAATGGATAAAGCTTCCCTAACTTGAATATTGGGTCCTGAACAGCCAAGAATTCGGGAATAAGAAAAAACTTTCCACCGAGCTTGACTCCCGAACTCTAATCCTTCAAAATGAAGCTTCCTAGCGGACCAGAGCCCTTCTCTCTAAACTGCTCTCTCTTCCTCTCTCTCTTTCTTTCCCTCCTTAACGCCTATTTATAGAGGTTAGAAGTGGCAAGAATGACCCATTTTTGAATCCAGAACGACCCATTCTGGGCTCCTTCATCATGTGACAAAATTCATATGCAAAACGACCCGTTCTGAAATCAAAACGGCCCGTTTTGGCACATCTAGAACGGTCCGTTCCCAAACCAGAACGTGCCCTTCTGGAGTTGGATTTAACTCACAACAACTACGTTTGGAACGGCCCGTTCCGGTCTAGGATTTATAGGCCAATTTAGTAGTTTGAAACGGTCCGTTCTGGGCTACTAAACCCATCGCCTTTTGAAATACTTACTACATTACATTCACAAAATTGGTTGAAACATAAACAAGGTAATGAACATTGTAGTATTTTATTTGTTCAATTAGATTTTTTTTTATCTTGTATTGTTAGTTTTTAAAAAAAATATGGAGATGACGAATTTCATGATGAGGTAAAATATCTTTATGTATTTGTGCTTTTTTTTCGTTTTAAATTTATAATATATAATTATAAGTTAATCAATTTCGATATATTCTTTTTTGATAGGTGTTGGAGAGTACTAGCTATTACCACATGACTTTAATAAATTTTTTTGTTAAAGATTGGAACATTGATTTTAACAATTGTTATGTTGGATAATTTTCTTTGTAATGTTTATTTATGACTTGGGTTTGATCACACCAATGCTATATTTATTTGTCTTTAACATTATTTTTGTTTGCTTTTAAGATTATGCTTGGATATTATTTAAGAATGAACTTTTAATTAATTTAATTGTAGTAGGTGTTTTAATTATTTTTTTTTATTAATTTATTATTATTAACTTCATGTATAAGTAAAGTGCGGATCATGAATACTAATATGAGTAGTTAGATACCCAATATATATAAAAATGAGAATCAAAATCGGTACTCATAAAAGTATGAAATTGATATTATTTTTAAATACGAATGTGAATAAGAGTACTATAGCTCCTTACTCGAATTCTACTTATTAATTTTCCTATTGATATGTTTGATTTGCCTATAATTCAATAGCTTCTATTGGTTTGTTAATGGTATTACGTAGAATTGACGGGGTATTTTACATGTTTTCATTTGTTTGTAATTCTGCACGGTTTGTTTTGTTTCTAATTGTTTATAAGAATTGGGTACCCTTATACTCTTATTTAATTTTACTTCATGTAATTTTTTTAATAAGAGATGTACTTTTTTTTATTATTAAGAAATAAGTTATAGCGTAAAATATAATATAATTAACTTATTTTTTATAAAAATGATTAAAAGTAGTATATTTTACTATTTAGTTGATAAAAAAATGAATGAATGTTCATTAATTTGGAGAAAAATTTAAGTTCATTTACATCGATTAAAGATACAATTGATAAAAAGTATATATAAGGAACAACTTTTACTCTATAAATTGGTTTCGGTTGAGTTAGCTAAACTTATAATCCACTTTATTATAGTTCAATGTTTGAAAGCTTTTAGTGAATTTTGTGGATTAACCTTTTTTTCATGCATCCAACTGATGAATTAAATTTAAATGAAGCTTAAAGAAGGACCAAGTTAAATCGATTTTGAAATTTTATCCCTAAGATTTATTTTCTCTTTGTTTCGTTTTAATTGTTGTTATTTTAGATTTTTTTATTTATTATTTTCAAAATTCAAGATAATATTATTTATTTTTTTCAATTATATTCTTACAATCCAACTTTTTATTTATTTATTTATTTAAAGATTTACGACTAGTCTCTAATTATTGCATAGTAAAAATGAAAAGGACAACCATCGAAATCTTTGAAATATATTGATAAAAAATACTATTTTAATGAAAAACAACAAAAATTATTATATTTCTTAGTATGTATAAAAAAAATTAAGCAACTTAAAAAGGAAAAGGGTAATACATTTTTTCATTATATCAAGCCTATTTGATCACTTTTAAATTAATATATTGTTTTCAACTTATAATCAAACTCCATTTTAGAATTTTTGTTCAAGTTTTTTATAAAAATAAAAAATAAATGCACATAAACAATCAGAAGGTTTAACTCATTAGTTAAGTAGAATGTGTGAGTTACCATAAATTCTCATAAAACTTAGGTCGATGTTTATATATATATAACGCCATAAGTAATTAACTACATGACCACGCCCAAAATCTCTTACCTATAAACACCAAGTGAATAGCCTTTAAGGCCACCCAAAACCTCCGAATTAACTATCATGGTTAAATTGTTCATGTCAAAATGCAATCCTAATCATGAAGATTTCGCTATATTATCCAATCCATTTCGCACTCAACCAATTCTCATCAAAGCTCTATCTCGACCAATGGTTCCAAACATCGTAACCACGTTGAGACCCATTGCACCTCAATATTATCCCTATAGCCTCTATAAACTATAAACTATTGTAGAAGCTAATGATCACTCACTTGATTCATAGCCTCTATGCAATAGAGACCAACCTCATCATGAACTCTATTTGCCTGTGTTGTACCCTTCGAGATAGGTTACCAATAATAGCATGCATTTAACCCCACCCATCGTACCCGTCTACATTGCCAAACACTACCCATATGCCCACAAAAAATTATTTGCCTTTATCTTTGCCATGAAATCCATGGTACCATCATCACTCAACTCAAAGCATGATCACCATAAAGTAAGGTGATGGTCTCCAAGAGTTTGTTTGGTTGAAAGGATGATAAAAGAAAAGAAAAAGTTTAATGAAGAGTTAAAAATAGAAAGGAAGAAGTTAGAAATTCTTTTAGATTAAGAAGAGGGAAGTGGAGGAATTTTAATGGAGGGAAAGTAACATTTTTATTATTTGATTCAAATTGAGAGAGAAGAGATTTTTTAAACATTAATTTACCTTTGGACCTTTATAATTTTAAATCCAGAAACATAGATAAAGATATTTTAGACATTAATTACAATCAAAATGCCTTAAAACTTCTCTTACTCCCTCCAAATTCTCTGATATTGAAAGTTAAAATTAGATAAGAAAGGTATTTTGCTCCCTTCCCCCCTAAAAATTGAATTATTTTAATTTTTTTTTCTCTCTTCTAACCAAATACTATTTAAGTCGTATCAAGGTTCAAGAAATTTGTGAAAACGAGTTATACCGTATGGTGGCCTACTAGGCCGAATACCCGAGCCCGCGAGCGACTAGGCCGAATACCCGAGCCCGCGAGTGATTAGGCCGAGTACCCGACCCCTTAATGGTTACGCCGATCACCCTAGTCCACCGACCACTTATAAGCGAGTGAAACGTGTCGGGTTGGTCGGTCAATCTCTGTGCCTTTGCCAGGCCGATTACAGATAGTTTAATTAGCGTAATACATTGGATTAGCCCCCTAATTTTCCGGAGCCCAATCCTTAATCACGGCCCAACACCAGCGTCTATAAATAGAGCCCCAACGAGGTATGTAATTAATCTTTCAACTACCGCATTTATTACGTCGAGAACTAACTTGAGCGTCGGAGTGTCTTTGCAGGCACCCCCAACCTCGCTTCGGACTACCCGGACAAGAACGAGAAGACCGTAACCCTACACCTGACCCGAGACGATCAAGATAATTGAAGTGTGTATCCTAACTCAGGAACATTTGGCGCCCACAGTAGGGCCGAAGAGACTTTTCTGCCCCTTTTCAACTCTACCAACTGAGACCGAGACATGGTAGTTACCCGCAAGGGACAGTCGACGACGACTCAACCGATTCCTAATACTAACGCCGAAGACCATCCCCCCATGACCAACCAAGAACGCTACCCGTACGGAATGCCTCAAACCCAACCGGAACCCGTGATACAACAGGTCTAGCCGAACGTTAACCAACCTCTGCCCCACTTTCATGATGACTTGCGCGCACTGCGTGAGGAAATGGCAAATATCCGAAGGCAAAGAGAGGTCGATGCTCGAGAGATGGCCGAATTACTTCGGCAAAATGCCGAGCTCCAGAGCCTGAATCAAACGAATGTGCCGTCTACTCCCACACTAGCGGAAGAGTCCGCTTATCACGCCCCAACCGACCAGGTCACTCGGACTCTGGCGACATCTTTAATAGCCAACAAGGCCGATACATCCGGCCATTCCCTGAGGCACCCTTTCTCCAGACGAATAATGGAAGCAACTTTACTGGACCATTGGAAGAGCATGCCAATCGAGAAGTACGATGGTTCGACCGACCTCGAGGAGCACTTGAATGTTTTCTTGACTCAGGCAACTCTCTCCACTCAAGACGACTCGGCATTGTGTCGAATATTCCCCACGTCACTGAAAGGGAGGGCTCTAAGCTGGTTCACCAGACTGCCGACTTCTTCCATCGACTCGTTCACCGAGTTGTCATCCCAGTTTACTTTGCAATTTGCCACGAGTAATCCGTACAGGACCACCTCGTTAGCCTTAGCGGGGGTCCATCAAGAGAAGAAGGAAAGCCTGAGGAGTTTCATGGACCGATTCAACAAGATCGCAATGGAGATTGGTGATCTCAACCCTGCCGTGGCCTTGGACCGGTTGAGCACGACACTTAGGCCGAGACCATTTGTGAATAGTTTGTGCAAAAAGCCACCCGTTGACATGAACGACCTCTGAAGACGTGCCGAGAAGTATATGCAAATGGAGGAATTGGCGGAGACAAGAAACCAAGCCAGGGCCGAAGAGGGTTACAGCCGGAAAGAGCAAGGTCAGGAGCCGATGAAAAGGGCGAATGCCGAGCCCTCAAAGGGCAAATGCCGAGCCCTCGAACACTCGACCGCCTAGAGGACCGCGTTACACGGCTTATACCCCCTTAATGCGAGCAGGGCCAAGGTGCTGGAGCAGGCTCTTGCGTCGGAGATTTTGGTGATACCAAAGAGGGCGAACACTCCTCCGAGAGCCGACAAGGCTAAAACTTGCCGATTCCACCGAAATCGAGGCCATTCAACAGAGGAGTGCTCGACATTAAAAGACAAACTTGAAGACCTTATCAAGCAGGGTCACCTTAGGAACTTCGTCTCATCCCAAGACCACCGACCAAGAGGGAGAGAAAAATACCCTCGAAGAACGTCGTCACCCGGGGAACGACGCCGTCGATCTCGGTCTGTTGAAAGGAAAGACCACCCCCGGAGCTCGCGAGACGACAATGATCGCCCGAGGAAGATAATAAATACAATTGCAGGAGGCTTCGCCGGGGGAGGCTCTACGTCCTCTGCGCGGAAAAGACACCTCCGGGCGGTACGGTCAGTGAACAGCGTTGATCGGCCGAAGACACCGAAAATGCCGCCGATAACTTTTTCAGACCAAGATTTCTGGGGTATCGACCCGGTCCAGGACGACCCCATGGTAATCTCCGTCGAAATGCATAATTGCATTGTGAAGAAGACCCTGGTCGACCAAGGAAGCTCCGCCGACATCTTGTATTGGAACACTTTCGTGCAACTAGGAATCCCTGAGGAGAGCTTAGAGCCGTATCATGAGCCCCTGGTCGGCTTCTCGAGTGAGCGAGTGATGACAAGGGGATGCATTGACCTGTACACCCACTTTGGTTTCGATCAAAGGTCTTTCCGAGAGATCAAAATCCGATACATAGTGGTGCATGCAAATACGTCATACAACATTCTCCTAGGGAGACCGTCGATCAATGCGTTAGGGGCCATCGTTTCGACGCCTCATCTGTGTATGAAGTTTCCGTCGAGGGATGGGCAAGTTATCACCGTGCATGCCGACCAAAAAACCGCAAGGGAGTGCTATCTCTCTAGTTTGAGAGTGCAGCCTATTGCCGAGCCGTCGACCACAAAGATAGGCGTGAACGTGGTCGCACAAGGGATAGCCGAGGGTATTGACCTCGATCCTCGGTTAGGAGAGGAAGAGTGGATCGAGGCGGCTGAAGACCTCGTCTCATTTCAGCTCGGTCGGTTACCTGAGCAAATCACGCGCCTTGGATCCCAATTGAGAGAGATCGATGCGAGCCGGGTTAAACGAGCAGTTTGAGATAATAAAGACCTTTTTGCTTGTTCTTATGCCACCGACTGGCCGTATGCCGAGACGCTCGACCGGTTGCCCAAAAGAAGAGAAAGATGGGAGAAGAGAAGAGAAAAGCGGCGAATGCCGAGGTCCAAAAACTGTTGCAAGCAAACTTCATCCGAGAAATCACATACACCACCTGGCTAGCAAACGTTGTGTTAGTAAAAAAGTCGAATGGCAAGTGGAGAATGTGTACCGACTACACAGACCTCAATAAAGCCTGCCCGAAGGATGCCTACCCACTCCCTTGCGTCGACCGACTCGTCGACGGCGCGTCGGGGCATGCGGTTTTCAGTTTCCTGGACGCCTACTCCTGTTACAACCAAATCAAAATGTACCCGGCCGACGAAGAAAAGACGGCGTTCATAACCGAGAGCGCCAATTTCTGCTATAAAGTAATGCCGTTTGGACTGAAGAATGTCGGAGCAACCTATCAGAGGGTGATGGGCAAGGTGTTTCAGGGTCAGGTCGGCCGGAACATCGAAATATATGTGGATGATATGGTGGTAAAGTCCAGCTCCCTGGCCGAACACCTATCCGACCTAACCGAAATATTTGCCCAACTTCGCAGACACAACATGAGGCTCAACCCCGAGAAGTGTACCTTCGGGGTCAAGGGAGGCAAATTCCTGGGATTTATGCTGTCGGCGAGAGGCATAGAAGCGAACCGAGACAAGTGCCAGGCCGTGTTAGACATGCGAAGCCCGAGCAACCTCAAGGAGCTGCAGCGCCTCTCAGGAAGGTTGGCCGCCTTATCCCGATTCCTCCCACGGTTAGGCGACAAAATCAGCCCGATGACAAGGCTCTTGCGGAAGGCTTCTGCCTTCTCTTGGGACGAGCAATGTGAAGCCACCTTCGCCACGTTAAAGACGACCTTGGCAACACCACCGATCCTCACGAAGCCTGACCCTCTACACCCAATACTGGTATACCTATCCGTGTCGGACGAGGAAATAAGCTCGGTGCTGGTGCAAGAGAAGGAGGGCACACAAGTTCCCGTATACTTTGTCAGCCGACTCCTGCAAGACTCTGAAACCCGGTACCAACTGATAGAAAAGGTCCCCTCGGATTGGTGCATTCCTCGCGACGCCTACGACACTACTTTCAAAGTCACCAGGTTGTGGTGCACACCGACTGCCCGATCTCAAAGGTCTTAGGCAAGCCCGAGCTCGCCGGGAGAATGATGGCCTGGTCAGTCGAGCTCTCACAGTTTGACATCGTGTACAAGCCTAGGGGACCGATCAAAGCTCAGTGCCTAGCGGATTTTGTAAACGAGCTGCACCCGCATGGCCACTTTGAGGAGCCATGGTGGACCCTCCATGTAGAGGGCTCATCCAATGGCAGAGGGAGCGGAGCAGGGGTCATCTTGGAGGGACCGAAGGGTTTAACGCTGGAACAATCTTTGCGTTTCCGCTTCAAGGCCTCAAATAATCAAGCGGAATACGAAGCACTACTAGCAGGATTGAGGTTGGCCGAGGACATGGGAGCCTCGAGGATCAAGTGTTTAACCGATTCCAAGGTTGTAGCCGAGCAAGTGGGTGGTAACTTTCAGGTCAAAGATCACATGATGATGAGGTATTATCACGCCTACCAAAAGTTGAAGGCGAACTTTCAGGAGGTGTCGGTCGAGCACATACCGTGTGAAGACAACACCCGCGCCAACCAATTAGCCAGGTTGGCTGCGACCAAAAAACCGGGCCAACTGAGAACGATCATTCAGCAAGAGATAGTCCACCCAAGTGCCGAAACGGAGATAGCAAATGTTGAGACCGACCCCGCCGGGCAGAAAGGCCCACAAGATTGGCGAGACCAAATCAAGGCATTTATTGACAAGGGTACCGTTCCCGCCGACCCTACCGAGGCTAAGCGGTTGAGGGTTCAAGCTAGTAGGTACGTTGTCGTTGCGGGGCAGTTATACAAGCGTGGTTTCTCCACGCCTCTTCTCAAGTGCCTAGACTCCGCTGAAGCCGATTACGTCATAAGGGAAGTGCATGAGGGAATTTGCGGGATGCACTCGGGGGCAAGGACAACTGTGTCGAGGTTACTGCGGGCGGGATACTATTGGCCGACCATGAACACCGATTGTGCAGCGTTCGTGAAAAAGTGTCGACCGTGCCAGGAACACGGCAACTTAATTCATCAACCGGCCGAGCAACTTCACTGTATTTCACCGGCATGGCCTTTTGCCACCTGGGGAACCGACATACTCAGACCCTTTCTAGTGGCCAAGGGACAATGCAAGTTTCTCATCGTTGCCGTGGATCTATTCACTAAGTGGATCGAGGCCGAGCCCTTGGCGTGCATTTCGGCTCATCAAGTCCAGAAGTTTTTATGGAAAAACATCATTACCCGATTCGGTATCCTGCATACCCTGGTGACCGACAACGGCCTCCAATTCACCGACTGAAAGCTCAATGAGTTCCTTCTTGGTTTGGGAGTACAACACAAGGTCACATCGGTCGAGCACCCGCAAACCAACGGTCAGGCCGAGTCGGCGAATAAAGTCATCCTGGCTGAACTGAAGAAACGCCTCGGAGAAGCAAAAGGAGCATGGGCCGAGCAGTTACCCGAAGTGCTATGGGCCTACCGATGCACGCCCCAATCAACTACGCAGGAAACTCTGTTTCGCCTAGTCTATGGGTCCGACGCGATGATCCCGGTAGAAATCGGAGAAACCTCTTTCCGTCGAGCCCATTATGACGAGTCGAACAATGAGGCCGAGCTCCACGCAAATTTAGACATCGTAGGGGAAATTCGCGACCGAGCGCTGGTAGTTGCTGAGGCCACCAAACAACGATACAAAAGAAGGTTCGACAGCAAGGTGAAGCCTAGAGAGTTCCGAGGAGGAGATTTGGTTTGGAGAACCACGGGCGAGGCGAGGAAGGATGCAAGGCAAGGGAAGCTCGCCCCAAACTGGGACGGACCCTTCCGAGTCCGGCACAACTTGAAGAACGGTGCTTACAAGCTGGAGTACCTGTCAGGAGAACCAATTCCGAGAACTTGGAACTCCTCCCACCTAAAGATGTATTACAGTTGATGTAATAGTGCACTCTTTTCCTTGGCCGACTCTTTTTTCCCTAAGGAGGGTTTTGGGTCGGCAAGGTTTTTAACGAGGCACTCGATTAATACAGAAATTTTTGAATATTTTTCTTTAAAGTTAATTATATGCGTGTACAAGTCATAAATGTTCAGGTCCGACCTCAAATAATACTCGTCCGGGCCGAGCACCACGCTCGGCCGATCGCTCAAATGTGCACTCGCGCCGAACAGGTTTCCCTCCCGAGTACCCTCCTCGGCTAAGGACGTACCTAGGCCGAGCACTATGCACGAACACCTACGTCGTCGAACTACGCTCGGCCGATCGCTCAAATGTGCACTCGCGCCGAACAGGTTTCCCTCCCGAGTACCCTCCTCGGCTAAGGACGTACCTAGGCCTAGCACTATGCACGAACACCTACGTCGCCGAACTACGCTCGGCCGATCGCTCAATTGTGCACTCGCGCCGAACAAGTTTCCCTCCCGAGTACCCTCCTCGGCTAAGGAAGTACCTAGGCCGAGCACTATGCACAAACACCTACGTCGCCAAACTACGCTCGGCCGAACACTACGCAGGAACACCCATGTAGCTGAACCACGCTTGGACGATCGATCGAGGCATTCTCGCGCCAAACAGATTTCCATTCGATTAGCATACTCGACTAACGATCCCCCTATACCGAGCGCCTCGCACAAACGTCTCCACCAACGAACAAACCTATGAACGATTATTATGAGCCTAGGCTAACCAAACCGAACTAAATATCCAGTAAAGCAAACTCCTCAAGAATGAAAAAGCAAAATCCGAACTCTCACACGTCTATGTAGATTATCCAAGTTAGAAACTGAACGTCTTTAAAACCGAGCACTCTTGCTAACACACGTTACGGTCAAGCATGTAAGCATATTATTAGACTCAAGAAAATAACTACTCGGAATAGTATACCAAGCAAAGCGTTTTACTAACTGTGGCCGATCAAAACGGCATTACAAGAAATTGTATCAAAATCGACGCCATTGGCCGGAACTACAAAAAGGCTCTAATGGCCCGGTTACAACAAAAAAAGAGAAAACCTAAGTACCCTTTACCCAAACCGGTCTCTACACCGCGGCCGAGCTCGGTGGATCCCCGTCACCAACCACATCTATGATCGGGTCTTCCTCTTCAGTTGACAGTACGGGGGCTCGGGTAGACACACCTCGTCCGGGGGCATCGACGTCGGGCTGAGCCCCTTGGGGGAGCTCACTGTAACTCATGAACTTCCCACCCAGGAAGTCTCGGCCAACATCAAATTGGAAATCAGCCGGAACCTCACAAAAATGGTACGCTTGCCGGACTGCATGCTGGAAGCCGGCATCATGCTGAGAGAGGATTTGTTCGGTGGCCTTGGCCTCGAACTTAGCAGCAGCCTCTTTGAGGCGAGCAATCTCCGTCGCAGCAGCAACGGCGTCGACTTTCATCCGCTGCACGGTCAGCTTTAAGTCGTCGGCTGCCGTCCGGTGGGCGTCGGCCGCTTTCTTCAACTCTTTGGCTGACTCCGTAGCCTTAGCGTTAGCACTCAAAGCCTCTTTCACGGTCGTCTCGGCGTCTTTCAGTCAGGCCTAAAGCCTCTTAGCCGAGACAGCCGACCTCATCATAACGTGCTTCGCCACAAGGGAAGTCCGAGCGTCGAGCTCACAAAAGAGCTTGTACTCGGCTTCCGCAGACATGCCCTCCAGGTACTGACGTCCCCGACCAGTTGTTATATCCAGATTGACGAGGTTCTCCACTTGCACATCCGAGGCCAAGAAGTTTGACCCAACCACAACAGCAGGCATGGCGAAGGCCCCACAACCTGACTGTTCCAACGACAGTTGTTTCGGCCGTTTGGAAGAAGAGCTCGGACGCTCCGGCTCGATGTCTTGCTCAGCAGCCCGGGCCCGAGACGTAC